AGACAGATGGATTCTATTGTTAGAACCAGGGAGTTGTTTGAGCTTCCCTATAGTTGTCATCTGGAGAGCAAGCCCTGGATGGAAAGGATTGTAATTTAGGACGTGTCTACACTGCAGGGCAAAAGTTGAATTAAAAGACTCAAATTCAGCTATGTCAGTTGTGTAGCTGAAGTCGGAGTGTCTTAACTCAGCTTTCGGTGCTGTCTACACAGCAGGAAGTCGAAGGAAGAATACTCTTCCTTCAACTTCCCTTACTCCTTGTGAAATGAGGGTGACAGAAGTCAGGGTAAGAAGTCCGCCATCTCGAAATTATTTTGAAATAACGGCTTGCTGTGTAGATGCGCACTTTGTTATTTCAAAATAACGCTGAGTGTAGACGTATCCCTAGTCCAGTTCTGTTAATGGTGGCTTTTAAACTAATCATTTTTCTGCAGCACTATTGCTGCTATGTTACCTGCAATGAATTTGGGTAATCTGCCCTTAAGCTTATACAAAGAAAACACATCAAATACCATTAGAATATTGGTCCATAAAATTAAACATTAACAACAATTGTCAAGAAATATTTTGTTACGGATTACTGAAAATAAATCTAGACTATGTAAGTGCTTGTCTGTATAGAAATTCTGTACACATACCTCATCTAGATATCAGTGGGATTTCTGCATGTATGTGGTGGAGTCTACCTCTAGAAAGAGAAGAGAACTTTTATAGAGTTACTTTGCTTACTGAAGCAGATTATCCCTTCTGTGTCCATGTATCTATAATTACTAACTTAAAGTACAGTTAGTAGAGGTGTAAACATCTTCATATCTTATGGATATGATTTCATGTGGTGGCAAAGAGTAAAGTGGTGAACAAGTCACCTGTGCATTATGCTAATTGTTAACCAGCAGCGAGAGATACATACAGTAAAAAAAAGAAATAGCTTTAATTTCTTTCCTTTTAGAATGAACTTCCTGAATTCATGCGGTATGTGAAACTGAAAGTGCTGAACAATTGGGGCCACCCGGAATACACCTGCATTTATAGATTCAGGGTACATGGAGATCTAAAAAATGCCCAGGAGTTCTTTCAACAGAGTCCAATACCTTAGGAACTCAAATGGAAATAACACCAGCAAACTAAAACTGAAATTCTTAAGATCACTCTGCTTCATCAATCAAGTGAAAAAGTGTCATAGAAGACAAAAATAGAAAAATAAAATAGCAACCAACAATATTTTTGGCAAAATTGTTTTTATTCTTCAAAAAGTTACTCTTTCTAGAGAAAAAGGTACACTGCATATGGTGAATAAATAGCATTTGTCTAATATTTCTGAAATAGCCAGAGGTAGGAAATTTGAATTAGAGCAAAGAGGTAATGAGATAGAACTATGTTGTATGGATTATCTTCTAATCTAAGTTTTTACAGAGAAAACGTAGTGTGTTTTTTTTCTTCTTCTTTAGAGATGGACTCTTTGTATTTCCTGTCAAAGCTTTCTCAATTGTTCCATGTGGTACTCCTCTTTATCCTCTGTTGACCCACAGTATGAATTAGGGGCTCTGAATTCATAGACTGTGATTTATCATGGACAGTTTCAACCGTCACCTACCCCTTAAGCTTTCAGTTCGTGTAAACTGCCCTACCTCTGATGACTTAACCATTAACAATTTACACCATCTGAAGATTGGCCTGTTGGATGCTATTTTTTTCCTGGTGCATTCCCAATCTCCTCTTTCATTTTAACATTATTTCAAAGGAAGTTAGGAGTCTAAGTACTGTTGAGCATCCAAGCCTGTATGTTCCTGTTGGTGGGAAGAGAAGCTTAACAGAATTGTTTGTCAGTTTAATCACTATCTGTAGATACAGGTATCAATAAATTTACAAAGAAACATGTAATTCTCTTCCTTAAATCCCATCACACTAACAACCGCTGCTGAAACTGACCAGCAACTGAATAGAGGAAGCCGGGGGAAGAGCAGCTGGGGTGCTGCCGGGTTGGTCCCGTAGTGCTGCCCCTCGTGGCTGCGGGACCAA